AGAGATGAGGTGTTATTTCTTCTTTGTTTATCTGCTATAAACCACTTTTACTACAATGATTGTCACAGAGCGGAGCACTTATGGGTTGTTAGCTGAACTAGTTACCTTTTTTATTCTGTGTTTTTCCATACACATACTTACCTATGATAAAGTCTAACTTGTAAGTTAGGCACGGTAAGAGTAACAACAGTAACTAAAACTAGAACAATTATAACAGTATACTGCAATTATAATTATGTGAATATGGTCTCTCAAAATATCTGGAATTTTGCATGTAACATTTTCAAACCACAATTGACTACAGGTAACTGAAAACACAGAAAGCAAAGCTATAAATGATTGGGATTGGGAGCTACGTTAAAGCCAAATTTTCTCGATTTGCTTCTATCAAAACATCATATCAGAGGAGATTGAATTCACAAGCAGATATGAGAATGTAGCTGTCTTCTACATTTAAGTTTAGAACAAGATTGAGAAACATCTATAGATTTTTAGAAATATGTAACAAAATTTGCAAAAATGTAAAATTATGCTACTCTGCTCACTTGAGGTGTTTTGTTTGGAAAAATAGTTATTTCTTATTGAAATGTTATTTATGTTAACTGAATTTGTTATTGGCATTTCTAAATGAATTAAGAGACTCATTTTAAAAATTGTTTTCATTTCTAATGTGGTAAATATCAGTAAATATACCCCACATAAACAGTAGTTTTGGCAGTCCCAGTTTTTTACATTGTAAATGATTCCTAAGAACGAAAGGTTTGAGACTTCTGGTGTAGATTCTCCTGGCCTCAGACGGCTCCTCTACCTGGGTGCATCTGTATTCCAGGCGAAGGGGGGAGGAAGAATGCTGGAGCAAGGAGCAGGGGCTGTGCCAGGAGAGCGAAATTCCCCCAGAAAACCCCGAGGTTAATTGTTTCACGGAGAACTTTATGTTTTTACCCTTAACTGCAGAAGTGTGAGAAAGTGAGAACTTTGAGTTGGGCCCTGTGCTGCTCAGAACAGGGTTGGAGTTCTGTTGGTGGGATGAATATTGTCTGTTACACACCAGGGCTTTTTGTTTGTTTGTTTTGCTTTGTTTTAATGGCTGGTCCTGGTCAGAGTTTCAGGGAAATTCCTACATGAAGTTCTATCCTTTGACTCCTTTAGGCAGAATCCCAGAAACTTGCTCCCAGGACTTGTTTGGCCCCTGTGGGCTCTGTGGCTCAGTTCTGCCCCAAAGCACATTGTATTTTTTTTTTTATCGACGACGAAGGTATTACATATGTGTCCTTATCCCCCCATTGCCCCTCACCCCACTCCCGTTCATGCCCTCACCCCCCTCGTGTCTATGTTTATCAATAAATGGTTGTTATTATTACATTAAAATAAATAATTTAGAGTATCTCTCTCTTGAAAAATAAATAAGTAAATAAATAAACAAACAAATAAATAAATAATTTAGGGTAGAAAAAAAAGTACATTGTATTAGAGCCACACATGGACTTGCAAAAACATTGACAGGACTGGCCAGATTGTGAAATGTCTTTATTCTTCAAAAGAGCTGATTTTTATCTTTGTGATTTTGTAACTTCTTACATTAACAAAATTTTTCTCACACCCTCAGACATAGTATTTCCCATCTATATATCAGTCTGTTCTCTGATTGATTTGTATTGACTCACTGGTAAACTCACTGCCATCTTTTCCATCGAAATTTAGTTTTATAGTAGTCATGCTTTATGATTTACTTTTTTAAAAATGAGTCATGATATTCACTTATACCTGAGTTTTTAAAAAATGAGTCATCACCTTTGTGGATTATATTGGCCCAGGATTTGAGTGAAACTTGCCTGTGAAGTGTGGTCTGGGAACAGCAGCAGAGAGTTCCTGAGAAATGAGCCATCCCAGGGCACCTCAGACCCACCAAACCACAGCACACATTCCAGGATCATCCCTAACTGACTCCAGGTGCAGCGTTTCAGAACCTGGCCTGAGGGGAAAACGTGAGACAGGGCATGGAGCTGTGTGCTAAGGAACATGCATGTTCAGTGTAGAAAAAAGAGCCCCCCCAAAAGACACGGGGATGCGAGCAAGCCTGGAGGTGTGTGTCTCACCACGAGGGATCACCTGGCGCTATCTCTGAGGAAGGAGGGTAACAGTTTCCGTTTCCAGAAGTGAAATAGAGACTTCCATTGCTCCCTGGGTTAAAAAAATGGGGGACCAATTAAGCAGTTACTGAATGAATTAAAGATTATCCTATATCATAAAAGCCTAATATGCAAATCAATGCAACAGCAGAATGATCGGTCAGCGGGGGGGGGGGGGGGGGGGAGTATGGCTGGCAAGCAGGCAGCACCAGGCTAGCTAAGGCGGATGCCAGCAGGCAGAGGGAAGGGACGGTGATTGGGGGGCGGGGGGAGGCAGGGGCAACCTGAGGCTGCAGAGGGGCGATTGGGGGGCTGGGCGATTGGGGGGCTGGCCACTAGCCAGCTGGTCGCCTCCCACAGAGGGAGGCCACCAGTGGAGGCGGGGCTAGCCAGCCAGTTACCTCTGGCAGAGAAAGGCCAGACTGGCTTAGGCCCGTTCCCTGCAAGGAGTGGGCCTAAACCATCAGTTGAATATCCCCCAGGGTTCCCAGACTGTGCACTCTCACAGTCTGGGTTTGGGCCCCTCCCACCCTGGGTGCACGAATTTTCATGCACTGGCCTCTAGTATGAAAATAACTGGCCAAGGTTTTTATTACTTGGTTATTGAAGCTTAATTGCAGCTTGAACTGGAAGGGAGGTCTTGTGCTCCTTGGAATGCTCAATTCCAGTTCTTGACATTGATGTTGGTAAACTTGCCTTCTCATACAGAAACATGCCTGTGGGACCATAGGAGAGAATGATGTCACTCCCTCTATCCTGATATGACTCATAGCTTTTATGTCATTCTCCAGCTTTTCCCTAGTTGGCATTCCTCATCAGAACACTTTTGAAGCAGTTCTGCGGTAATGTCATCATTGGAACAGGCCTTGGAGCCACATTTATTTTTGACATATTCTGACACTGCTGCAGCTGTTGGCATTTGGTAGTCACATAGTATATAGGATGGAATGAATGAGTAACTTTGAGTTGAATGAATCCTGAGATTTGCTTGCTGAAAAATAGATCTGTCATGGTTCTGAGCTTGTTAGATTTGTCAATAAGTCCAAATAAATGTTGCAATATTTAAGGGGGGAAAAGTCCATTGGAAATAAATTATTAATTTCCTACCAAGCAGTGGAGAAGCAATCCTAAATGTCAATAGGCTTCAGGCTTTAAAACATCTGCATCTTTTGGAACTCATTATTAGTTTGACTTTTACCAATGCAGTTTATTTTAACAAGGGAATCAAAATAAAGGCTTACATCATTAAATTTATGTCCCAAGTTCATAAGACAAAGAGCAACTTTTAGCTCTCAGTCTGGATTTCTAATGTTATCTAGCTTAGCTGCTAGTCTTCTCCCCACCATAATATCCCTTCTTTATGGATTGATGAATGTCAGAATGAATTACTGTTTTTTTTCATACCTCAGGACTTCTCTGTAGGTTTCTAGCTGGTTTTAAACTGGCCATTTTCTTTTTTTTGTAATGGTGATTATAATTGGTTTTTTATACAGATAATCCAAGGTGTATATTATCTGTTTTAATTTAGCAGATTAAATGAAAATTTAATAGTAAATCCCTGGTGGATGTGCCGTTAAGCCTGGATTCACAGCAGTACCTGTGTTTGTCCGTAGCACATTCCTGACTCGAGAATAAAACTTAAATGGTTACAGATTTACCTGTTCTGTGAGCAGAGGGACTTTCCATTCCCAGTGAGGGAACGTGTGAATATGATGATTGAATGAAATTCCTAATTAGTTTTTTAAACAGTCTTTGGAAACATATTGCCAACACTCTCAGTATACTTTGTAATTTTGTTATTTTCCTTTATAACTGTCTAATTGACTAACTTAAGACCAACAAATATTCCATTGAGACTAAACACTTAATAGCATTGTCTATATTGTATTACACTTAAGAGACCTGAGCTTTGGTTTCCACTTAGGTTTATAAAATAGAGTATATAACAAAAATTGCACAGATATATTGTTGTAAAAATAAGAGAGACAGCATTGGGCAGCTCCTGTGTTGAGTGTCTGCTCCCTGGTGGCCAGTGCATGCCATAGCTACCAGTTGGAGTGTCTGCCCCCTAGTGGGCATTGTGCATCATAGGTACCAGTGGGACAGTCTAATGGTTGGATGGTTGCTTAGGCTTTTATATATATAGATTCTGAGCACTGGATGTTAGGACTTCAACATATGAATGGGGGAGAGGGGGATGCAATTCAGTCGATAGCAGTATGTCTTAGGAAAGTCAACTTAAAAGCAGAAAGACCACTAGGAAGTAATTTAAGAATTCCAAGTGAGAAATGAAGAGACCTAAACTAAGGCTTTGACAATGGAAATGAAGATGAGATTGAAAAGCATTAAGGAGGAAGAATTTGATGTAAGACTGAATGTGGAGAGGGATGAGAGGGAAGAAGCTAGCCTGACTCAATTCCTCTAATTCAGGAGGAGAACAGACTTGAGGGAATAGATGTGAGCTGTGCCAAGTCCCTGTTGAGTACCAACACTTTGACAGCCAAATAAACGAGGTGGCATCCGCTGTCCTGCTTTCTTTCTTCCATTTTACAGGGTCCTAGAATGGACCACCCCACGCACATCTGAGCATGCCATTTCTTGCCTGTGACCCTCCAGATGAATGTGTCATAAGACATTTACTGCCCTCTTATTTTTACAGTTAATTCAAAATTCCTGGTGATTTTTTTCCTTTAGGGCAGGGACTATTGTTTTATTCATCTTTGCCAAATTCTCCAAAATATATTAGCTGACCTGGCACATAGTTGTTTGTGTTCAGCAAATTCTAGTTGAGGGAATGATTTGTCAGTACCATTGTTGTGATCAATTACTTGTTCTTTGCACATTTTAATCCCCTGTTTGGTTTTCTTGCAGAATGAGAAGACTTTGGGATATCCCATGAGTCATTCAAGTAGCATTTCTAAGGTAGAGTGCCACCGAAATATGTTATTTTTACATTTTCTTAATTTGCATGTGTTTATAATCTTTTAAAGACATAAACTTACTGTAGCTGGATAGAATGTAGGCCTATGGGCCGAAGGGTCCCGGGTGCAATTCTGGTCAAGGATGTGTACCTTGGTTGCAGGTTCCTCCCTGGCCGGGCCCTGGTTGATGCTCATGCAGGAGGCAACCAATTGATGTGTTTCTCTCACATCGACATTTCTTTCTGTCTTTCCCTCTCTCTTCCACACCCTCTCAAAAATCAATGGGAAAATACCCTTGGGTGAAGAGAGGAAGGAAGGGGAAAAGGGAGAGAGGAAGGTAGGGAGGAAGGCAGGGAGGGAGGGAAGGGGGGCTTACAGTGTCTTAGGGATATTTTATAGGCTTGCTCGGGCCTGGGTTAGTTATTCTGTGTTGCTCTGTGAGGGTTTGTGCGGGGGCTTGATGCAGCGGGGGCCAGACATGGCAAGATCTCCCTTTTCCACGTCCCGCATCAAAAGAGAGAGGAACAAACTGGTTCTAAGTGGAGGCGGCCATGGATTGAGAAATAATAGAAATAAAGAGAGAAGACACAGAGATAGATTTTAAGCTGGGAGCTGTGTGGGCCGCCATTCTGTCTGCTGGAGAGGCAGGAAGAGGAGGATGATGACATTTATTTTATACCCCAATACCAGGAAGTAACACCAACTTATTTGCATGCTTACTAGGCCCTACCATTGCCTGGATTTACATATCTAGTCCCGCCCCTGCTGACACCTGGGCTGATATGAAGGCCAAGCTGACAACATGTCCGCCATCTTGAGAAAACATGTTCCCAGGGCGTGGCTCTGTCTACACTCTGAGTTCAGCTGAGGATAATAAGGAAAATGCCCAGGTGTCTTCCCAGGCGCCCTCTACAGGTTTGGGGTCAGATGGACAGGGATTTACTAGCCATGAGACTTTGAGGCTCTAGTTTCCTGATGAGTAAAATTAGGGCAATAACAACCTTCAGAGGTGGTGTGAGTCTCAGGGATAATGTTTGCACGGAGCCGCAGGGCAGCTCTCAGTGCAGTGAGTTGGTGAACTGACCCTTGTTAAACGTTGTTGACCCCTGGTAATTTTACATTCCGATTCATAAAACAGTTATGGAATAGCAACGAAAATAATTATATGGTTAGGGGTCACCACAACATGAGGAACTGCATTAAAGGGTCGTGGCATTAGAAAGGCTGAGAGCAACTGATCTAAGGTGAGTCTCTTGTGGGCAGTATATAGATGGGTTGTTTTCTTAATCCATCTGTCTTTTGATTGGCACATTTAGCCCATTTACATTTAAAGTTATTACTGTGCGCTTACTAACCTTTTGTTAACTGTTTTTGTTGTTCTCTGCCTGTCGTCTTCTCTTGATATCTTTCCTTTCCTTTGGATTTGTTGGTTTTCTGTAGTGTTTTGGTTGGGTTCCTTTCTCTTTACACAATATTTTGTGTATTTTTGTAGGTTTTGGTTTGTGGTTACAATGAAATATCCATTTCTATCTTATATAGCAGTCTTTTTTAAACTGGTAGGCACGTAAGTTCAAACGAATTTTAAAAGCACTACATTTTTACTACCCCTTCCATCCTTTATGTGTTTGAGATCATTTTAATATATTTTTGTTTTGTGTGTCTCCTACTTATTGTAATTATAGTTAATTTTACTAGTTTTGTCTCTGAAACTTTCTATTAGCTTTTTTTTCCCTCTCACCCGAGGATACTCCAGCTGTGGCCTTGCCTCAGCAGTGCTGTGAGATATGTATCTACCTATATATCTACCTATATCTACCTATATCTACATCTATATCCTCCTTCTGCTGGGATGTTACATGGAATTATAACTCTAAAAGCCACCAAAGAGAAGATTTCAATGTTAGTGCTACTTGCTAGGCAGAGCTGAGCGCCATTTGCAGTGGAGCTCACTGGTTTTTGTGGCACGCTCCCCAGGAATCCTAGGCTGCTTATGCTCTGTGTTCACTTCGTACGTGGCAAGTTCTAATCAGCTGCCACTGTGGCTCGTTCTTGGCCCAGCCTTCAGTAGAGCAGCCACAGAACTGGCCTGTCCTCCTTTAATTGTAGCTCATTTGAAGATGAATACAGTCGGGTGTTTGTTTATAGAATCAGTCTCTCATAACAAAGCTTGTTCTCACAGAGTGACCTCTGTGCTCAGCAGAACGTTCCTGAGAGGCAGCCTCAGTCCGTACCTTGTGGCGTCTAAATGCCAAGCGAGACTTCATTGCGTGAAGCCAGGCCCGCTGGGCGCAGTGAGGGCAGGTGTCAGCTCTTGGTTTGGGACTGGGAGGATGGTAGCATTTAACAGCCTCCTGAGGAGAAGGGAAGTAAGGCGGTCTGATAAACAAGAATTCCACAGCGGTCCCAGGGATGTCCTGCCCTCGGCCCAGAACCTGCCCTGTGAGGAGCTGCCACTCCCACGGTCACCTTCTGTTAACCGAGGGGGATCCGTGAGCTCCCGGAAGCACGGAGCCTCCTGGGGCCGGGGCCGAAGGACGGCAGATTGCAGCCAGAGCGATCTTGAAGGTGCGAGGGGTGACTGACAGGGGATGAGGGCGGCGGACGGCTCACAGCCCCCAGGAATGTCCTCAGTTATAAAGGGCAAGGCGTGCCTTCTGCCAGCGCCTCCTGCATGCGGAGGTGTGTCCTCCCGCAGCTTCAGAAGGGGAGGCCCTGAGCAGGGCCATCCCACGCTTCAGACAGTCATCTGTGTGGGTTTGCTCCAGAGAGCGTGGTGCTTTGTCCACGGCAATAGGAAGCTGCCCCGGGACAGCCGTGGAGCCCTCGCCTCTGACCTCCGACCCCCCCCTCCGACCTCCCACCTCCGTGCTGACGGTGTGCGGCTCTCTTCCTTTAGCCACATTCCTTTGCTTATGTTGATATGTTGTATTTTCTTTGTAGAAATACAGACTTTCCAATTATTTTGACCATGATCTTTCATAAGAAAAGTAGCTTTTATGTCGAAACTCAGTTCACTCACATAGAGCTGAAAGAAATACTCCCTCCAAAGACGTAATTCCTAGGATGTCAGATGGACTCAGGCATTTTCTATTTTATTGTGTATGTTTTTAAATGTAGGCCATGACCTACTTAATTTCTTTCTGGTTTTCCAGAGTTAGAAAATCATCCCGGTTGGTTGTGCTTTTGCAGTTTTATTTTACTTCCCAGACTTTCAAATGCACGTTATTTTAAACAGGAGTTTGTGCTGAGGAGAACCTGGGCGTGGTTCACGTGTAATGGCGGAAAGGGGGCCTCTCTTCTCCGATTGAGGAGGGACCAGCGTCGGGCCTTGAAAGACGCGCACAGGCCAGCGGTCCCGGTGCTCCCTCCTGGCCTCCCTCTCCGTCCTGGTGCTCCCCCTCCTGACATCCCTCACCGTCCCGGTGCTCCCCCTCCTGGCCTCCCTCACCGTCCCGGTGCTCCCCCTCCTGACCTCCCTCACCGTCCCGGTGCTCCCCCTCCTGGCCTCCCTCCTCCCTCACCGTCCAGCTGCTCCCCCTCCTGGCCTCCCTCACCACTGGGCCCCAGGCGCCCCTCTCATGCCTCCTGGCCTTGCTCTCCACCAGCCACCCTATTAACCCTGTCCGCCCCCCGCCCCTGGCCAGTGAGGGTGTCCAGCCCTCTGCTGCCGTGTGTGTGAGGACAGAATCCTGAAGGAGGAACTGCTCCATGTGTGTGTGCATTGGTCATTCTGAGAGAAGTTGCCATTTTAGGTGACTCACCAGTTTGGTTTCCCACCAGCAATTGTAAGCACGCCTGCTTTCCACACTTTTGCAACACAGGTAGTATCTGATTTTTAAAAACCTTTATTTGCTGATGATGTATGTCGTTGTAGTTTTAGTTTGTATTTCTCATTATGAGACAGGCTAAGCATCTTTTCACGTTGTAAAAGCCCTGTGCTTCCCGTTTTCCTGTGAAGTCGGTGAGCTGATGGACTGTAATTGGAGGCCAGTTGTAAGCACAAGCCCTGTCGCCTCTCACCCTCCTATCCAGCCCCTCCAGGTCCTCGTGGCTCCGGAGCAAGCGGCTCAGCCAGACCACGTGTGTGGCCCTGCCCGTGGGTGTGAGCGTGTGAAGGGCCTGGGGTTCAGATGCGGCAGCTTGCTGGTGAAGAAAAGGGCCGGTGAGCAGTGGAGAGCGAGGAAGAGTGGGGAGGGAGGGTGGAAGGAGCTCAGTGAAGTACTCGGACGCGGGAAGGGAGTCGGGGCGGAAGGCAGCCTGCAAGGTGGCCTGTCCCGCAGACCGGAGGCTGCCTGGCGGGGCTGTTCCCGGCCTCGCGTCCTCGCAGCGGGAAGCAGAGGGGGCCTTCCTTGCCGGGTGGGGAAGGTTTCTTTCCAGCATGGAAATTAACCGGTGCGCCTGCGGGACTGGCGCACCGCGAGACACGGTCCTGTCATTCTTAGGCAGTCTAGGCCGACAGCTCCCAGAGGCTTGTTTTGCCAAATTGATTACGACTTCTTAGGACGAGGGTCTTTTTGTGGAAATGTTGGTCCGGAGATGGCTTTACGTTCCTGCCTGAGCCTCCTGTCTGAGAGGCAGCCGAGACCTGGGGGAGCGAGCCACTTCCCCCTCACCTCGCATGCAGGAGCAGCTGATCTGACCCCTGTGCAGGGGGAGGGGCGCTGAGGGGGTGAGCGCAGGGATGCCTTTTCTCCGAGCCAGCACTCCCAGCGCCCCCTGCCTGCCCGTGCCGCTCTCCTGCTCCGGGCCTCTGGGCAGAGCTGCTGGCCCTTGCTTGACTTGACCGTGGCAGTTCAGCCCTGGAACCGTAGGTGAGCTGTGAGCTTCTCTTTGTGCTGCTGCTGCAGGCAGTGTTTTAGGTTCTCGCTGAAGCTGATAGATCTTTCTCGGCGTGAGACAGGTGAGCTCTTCGCGGTGCTGGGCGGCACCCGCAGTGGACGGGCCTGAGCTCAGCCCTCTCTGCGCCTCAGCTGGTGGCAGGAGGAGCCCCTGCCTCCCAAACCCCGTGCTTCTCCCTCTTCTCACTCCCTGGAGAAGGAGCCAGGAAACGGCATTTGCTGGCTTGTATTAGTTGGCTTGTAAAAGTATAAAAAGTAGATTCAAAAGTTTTCTTGAAACCTCGTGATCTAATACGAAGAGAGACTTTTTTTGTTACTGGAGCTTGTCGTGGTTTGGAAGTACGCTGAGCGCGTCTCGGGACGGGTGTGGGATAGGAGAGGATGACCGGGCGGGGTGTGGACGGGGATGCTGAGACTTCCCGTTTTCTAATGAGCAGGGCGTGGGCCCAGGGCTGCAGCCTCCTCCCAGGACACTCACCCTGGGAGGCCTCATTCTCCAGATAAGACCCTACTTTCCTCCCAGACAGATTCCTTCCCTTCAGGACGCAGGAAGGTGTACGTGGTTTCCTTCTCCAACAGGGAACGTGATGCCGGGCAGTTCCCTGTCTTCTGGGGGAGCAAGGCACCCTCCGTCCCTTTAGGGGAAGGGGACGTCCTGGCCTCGGTCTGAGCCACTAACCCTGACCCGGCCGTAGAGAGGAAGGAGAGCTGACCTCACGCAGTGAGGGGACAGGATGTGGATGGAGCTGGACTCTACTGTGCTCCCTTCCTCCAAAGTCTGCTGAGGGAGGCCCGGTGATGACGCTGCTCTGCAGTGCATGTCCAGCCCGTGGCCTCCGTGGTGGCTTCTGTGATAACTCACTTTTCTGCAGAGCTGACCAGCCCGTGGCCCCCGTGGTGCATTGCTAGTCTTGCGCACAGATGCTTAGCAGAGCTGGTCACCCTGGGAGTGAAAGAAGGGAGCGGGGCGCTCACGGAGGCTGTCTCTCGGCTGGGTGAGGACTGAACGCCAGGGAACAGGCTGTTAGGAGTTGGGGACCTCCGTGTAGTGCCCCAGCCCTCCCGGGTGCCCATTGACGCACATGCAGCTCTTTTGCTTTTGCCACCACCTTGTAGCACGTGGTTTCCTGGACCTGGGCATGAACTAACTCCACTCAGATGCTTAGGAAGCAAACGGCCGAGTGTTCGGATCGTGGTGGTGCTCCAGTCTCACATGCTGCCTGGCTGCATTTGCCCCTCATGCAGCACCAGCCATTTGCTTTGTCCTGTCTCAGCTTGTGGGGCCCTGGTTCCTGTTGCTCCCGGAGCGGAGGACTGGCAGAGGTCTCCGCTCAGGGGCGGGCCCGGCCCTCCTGCTCCCGGGACTGACGGGGTGTCGTTGCAGGTCGGGGCTCCTCCGCCGGTGTCGGCTCCGGTGCACGCCTTCTCTCGCTCCTCCGTCACGCCTTCCAGCCAGGACATCTGCAGGTAACGCCTCTTCAGATGCCTCGTGGCCCGTGTCACCTCACAGTACGCGACAGTGTCTGCAGTCTCAGTGTTTTATCCGCTTGGTCAGCACTGTGCTTTGCTCCGACCAGTCGGCCCAGTTCTGTGCTATTTGCTCACCAAGTTACAGGAGTCTCGTTTCTTCACTTATATGTCTGTTCTCTTTAAAAATGGTTTTCACTCCTGTGTTTTGTCCCACTGTTCTCTGCACGCAGTTCCAGGGCAGTGTGCTCTGAGTGTTCACACGGCCCCATGCAGGCCGCCGTTGTCCTGAAGGCGGCCCGGGGCCCGCGCTCCCTGGCGCCCGGGCTCACGGTGACCGTGCTGTGTGCGGACCCGCTGCCCGCGCCCAGGGGCCCCGGCGGCTCCGGGCGGGCCGTGGCCGGGAAGCCCGCCCCGAGCAGCAGAGCCCGGCGGCCCCTCAGGTTCTCCAAGTCCCTGAACGACGTGGATGAGAAGGCCCCGGACGCCGCGGAGAGCTTTGGCTACGTGGAGAGAACCTGCTCCGAAGGGAAACTGGTGCTCCCTCAAGATCCGTGTCTCCGAACTAACAGGTTCCACCATAGACAGAAAAGAACTCCGAATTGCAAACCCCTGGGCCATTCCAAACATTCTTGCGTTTCATCCCTCCTTGCGGCTCAGCCAGCTGCCTCCTCCGAGGCGGAAGGTGGCAAGGGCGGCCTGCGCGTCCCCCTCCTGGAGGAGAAGGCGGACGACGAGGCGGTCTGCGGGAGCCGGCGGCTGCTCAGGTGCCTGCTCTCCCTGTCGCGCGGCTCCAGCGCCGGCAGCCTGCACCGCTTCCACGAGCTGGAGGGCGGGGCCCGGCCGCGCAGCGCCCGGTCCTCCAGCGGCCCGGCCGGCAGCGCCGGCTTCTGCTCCGACGACATGGGCGACGACGACGTCTTCGAGGACAGCGCCTCCCAGGGCGGGGCCCCGCGGGCGCCCCTCTGCTCCGCGGAGAAGGACAGCGACCTGGACGGCTCCTCTCCCCTCTCTGGCAAATGCCCCCCCGCCTCTCCTGCGTCCGCGTCAGGGGAGGCCTGCAGGTTGGTTTGCCAAGAGCCACCACTCTGCCCGTCTCTGCTCCCGCACTTGGTAGCCTCATCTTGCTTTAATATGTGAAGTTTCAGGAGAAGGAATCAGTAGGCAGTGGTACACAGTTGTGGACTGATAGTTTTCTCCAGAAGACTGGAGTGTCGATATCATTCGGAAAACCAATTTCTATGACATGGGTCTCAAGATAGTTTCACAGACGATAAAAGAGGAAGAAGCTACACATATTAAAGGTCAAGTTGACTTTGCATAAGGAGATTGGAAGGAAGGAAGTTTTCCGGCTTGATGGTCCCTCCCAGCCTCATTTACCCTCGCTCCCCCTGCAGCATGCTGTGCCTGGGGAGAGGCTGTCCTCCCTCCTCTTCACCTGGGAGGCAGCCACCTCTGTCCAGGTCCCAATCCCACTGCCACCTCCACCCTCCCACGGCAGTGGCCTGGGAGGAGAGAATGCCCTCCAGGTCGTTCAGAATTCACTTTTTATCACCATCCGAACCTTCCCCAGCCGCCCCTGAGGGCCGGCCATGACCAGTTCTGGCAACTGGACCAGAAACCTTTGTCCCAGAACAAACAGCTGAGAGCTGGGCCGGGGCCTGCCGCTCCTTCCAGGCCGGTGTCTCTGCTCCTCAGCGGCTGGGGCACCCCGTTTCTCAGAGGTCTGTTTAGTTTCTCGAGGTTAGTAGCTCATCCTATTGCATGCACCCTGAGCCTTTCGATATGGTTTTAAGTTTCCGCTTATTGCTGTGAGTATTCCTGCAAAAAGAAATGAAACCGCAGCCCTCCCCGAATATTCCGAGTCCAGGAGAGGTGCCAGCCGTCCCTGCTCCCCTTGACGGACTGTGTGGCTGGGAGGTGCGGTCAGTGATTATAGTGAAAAAGCAGATCCACCATCCTTCCACATCACTGGCCCTTTTGGGAGTCTGATTTCCTTTCACACAGAAGTTTTTTCCTAATGTTAACGTCGTAAGTTCTGGGAGATACTTCCCGGTTGCCTTAAGTGTGTCTTTCAGTGAAGTTCTTAAGTCTGACCCAGAGTGACTGCTGTGTCATTTCTTACACCGATCCCCCTCCTGCCCAGTGCCGTCCAGACCTCCCGTGTCGGCGCGTCAGCTGGAAGCATTAGTGTCAGTGTTGTTCTTGCTTCCGTCCGACTGTGTTTGTGTGCTTGTCGTTGGTCCTGTGAAGTGTGTCTCTGACGTTCCCTTTGGGGCGTGGCCCTGGCGCCCCGCCGTCAGCCCCGCCGGTGACGCTGGCTCTCCCCGCCAGGATCTGCCACTGCGAGGGCGACGACGAGAGCCCCCTGATCACGCCCTGCCACTGCACGGGCAGCCTGCACTTCGTGCACCAGGCCTGCCTGCAGCAGTGGATCAAGAGCTCCGACACGCGCTGCTGCGAGCTCTGCAAGTACGAGTTCATCATGGAGACCAGGCTGAAGCCGCTGAGGAAGGTAGGTGGCCGCCCCGACGCGTGCCCGGCGACGTGTCCGTGTTGGTGAGGAGGCAGTGCGCACCCTCGGGCTGCAGGGACCACATCCCTCCCTCATCATAACGTTTTCCTTCCCTTCCAGCCGAGGCTGCTTGCTCACCGAGTCAGTCATTTGGTCCTTGGCCGGCCTCGTAACGTTTTAGTCTGCCTTTAACTTTACCTATTGGCTCTGTTTGCCTTGCCTCTGGTCAGAACTGTGGATCGGAGGTTGGGATCTCCCCTGCACAGGGACCTGGTCCTGGGAGAGTGTTTTAGGCGGGGGGTGGGCTGGGGGGCGGGAACCAAGGGCAGGACAGGAACGGCCCTTGTCTCGTGCGTGGCCCCTTTGCCAGGGGCCTTGTCCTGCACACGCGTCCTGCAGGCATGATGTTCACCGTCTCTCCCCATGACCAGAGCATGAGGTTCGTTGGAACAACACGAGACTTGTCTGTATCTCAGATTTTTCATGTAAGTTGAGAGGGGAGCCGCATCCTCAGAGAGCAGACAGGTCGATGCCGGTTGGACGCTCGCTCACGCCGCGGTGGAGCACGCCAGCACTCGGGGAGGAAGCGTGCGCTGGGAGCTGGGCTCTGAGGGTGGGAGCACCCAGGATGCTGGGTGTTGAAGCAGCTCCTGAGGGCCAGTAGGGTTTGGAGGTGAAGTGGAAGGTGAGGTGAGCACTCAGGGGTGAGAGAGGCGTGAGGAAGCCGCTGAGGAAGGTAGGTGGCTGCCCAGACGAGTGTGTCTTGGTGAATAACAGGACATCGGGAGGAGGGCTCGGCTCGGAGAGAAGTCGGATGAAGATGGACCGCTTTGTCCTGGGGAGGTGTGCTCCAGAAGGGGCCCGACCAGATGTACAGTCATCTCAGGCGCCCCCAGTCCCCGCCCGCTCTGCCGGAGTCTCAGGAGGGAGTCAGGCACCCGACCAGGCTCAGGGCCTGCGGCTCTGCTCTGGCCCTGGCAGCATCTGCGGAGGCTGGGAGGCTGGCGAGGGTGCCCGCCTACTCCCTGTTCCCTCTCTACCTTTAAGTGCTCTCCTCTCACCCGGAAACCGGAAAACAAAAAGGAAATGTGGCTGTTTGGAGTGAATGAATGCATCCTGAGAGGAGATAGGACCGGCAGGGACTGCTCACACCAGGAGCTTTTAGCATCAGTTCATGCTGTGCTGCCAACGCAGCCGAGGAGCAGGCGGAGTGCCTTCTGCACCACCTCCCGGGTGGCGTGCTTCCTCGCCCAGCACGCCAGGGAGACCTCCAGTCTGGGGCAGCAGGCTGTTGATCGGCACTGAAACCAGAGGGTCCCTGACCAAGCACTGCGGCCGGCCAGCTGGCAGAATAAGAGGCGGGCTGCGGGCCGTGGCTGCCAGCGCATCTCCACCCCAGCCTCTTGCCAGTGATGACAGAGTGCCAGCACCGAGTGCTGAGGACAGCGGGCGGCTTAGAGAGTGGCTGGGTACTGAGGGTGCGCACGGAGCTGTGGGGAGGCAGCGCACCCCGCTCCAGCGCCCTCACCCGCGGCCTGCGGGTCTGAGCCCTGCGTGCTGTCTCCGCAGTGGGAGAAGCTGCAGATGACGGCCAGCGAGCGCAGGAAGGTCATGTGCTCCGTGGCGTTCCACGTCATTGCCATCACCTGCGTGGTCTGGTCCTTGTACGTGCTCATCGACCGCACGACCGAGGAAATCAGGCAGGGCCAGGCGACAGGTACGTGCCGGCGCAGGGGCCTGGAGAGCCCCCGGGTCTCGGGCTGAGTGAGGCTCCAGGTTTCATTCCCGGGTTTCTGGAAGGACCCCCAACGGGAGGCAAGAGGCACTCTGTCGTGATGTACTCCTGCTGTGAGCGGTTCTCCGGCCCAGTCAGCGGAGGGGCGGGTGGGGGAGAGAATCCCATGAGCTGCCCCTGGGAGGGCAGGACAACAGGAGGGCCCCTCCCCGCCCTCTGCAGGGAGCAGGTTTGATGAGTTAGAGTCCGTGGTTATAGAAGCTCCTGAGTTGTGCTTATCCACCCAGATCCTGATTCCCGCCCCTGAGAGCTAACGTGCTTCCCTTCCAGGCATCCTGGAGTGGCCCTTCTGGACCAAGCTGGTGGTGGTGGCCATCGGCTTCACGGGCGGCCTCCTCTTCATGTATGTTCAGTGCAAAGTGTATGTGCAATTGTGGAAGAGACTCAAGGCTTACAACAGAGTCATCTATGTGCAGAACTGCCCAGAAACAAGCAAAAAGCATGTTTATGAAAAACCTGCCCTCTCGGAGCCCAGCTTGGACCGTAAAGATGGGCGCGGAGTGTGCCCTTCCGACACCACCTCCAGCGGCACGGAGCCCGAGGACCCCGGAGCGGAGATCGTCCCGGTCTGAGGGAGTGGTGCTGCCGGCACAGCCCGGCCGGCGCCTGCTGTCCGTGCTCCTCTCCTCGGCCTCCTGCCGAGCCTCCTGGGAAGCCCACGGAGGCCGCGCCTGGCCGCCCCTCCGCAGCAGGTCTGTGGGCGGCGGCGCGGACACCAGCGGAGCAGAATGAGGATGACATGCCAGGCCTGAGGGAGGCAGGGGCAGGGCGGCGGGCCCTGAGCGGCTGGCAGTGCGCGGAGTGTCGTCACGGAGCGAGGACCCCTCCTCCCGGGAGAGCCGGGAGTGCTCCACTGCCACGTGCCAGCGTCCGCCCCGGCGGTGGGCGTGTGCTCTGTGGTGGCCGGCGAGTAAAGCAAACAGCACTTTACAGAAAGAGCCTTTATTTCATGTTTCCAGTGAGATTGACATTTAAAAGAATGTCTCCTTCAGAGACCTCTCCATGACCCTGACGGCCACCTCATGTCCCAACAGATCTGAAACCCTTCCTGCCTTACGTGTTCTGAGAAATGTGACGCCTCTTCTGTGTCCATTAAAGGGACTTGTGACCATAAAGCAGGCAACAGGTCTGACGCTGCCTATAGCATTTCAGGGAATGAATGGTTCTAATGGTGACTTGAGCACAGGTCCTGAGGTTTCAAACCTGTGTTAAAAGTCTTGCAGACATTTCCTTCTTTGTCAGCACTGAAAAGAAAGGGAAAGTAATTAAAACTGAATATTTAAAAACCATTCCTTTCCAGACAAGCCTCTCTCGCTTGTGCTGGCTTCACATGCAGAGCAGGCTGCCCGCCTGGCCAGGTGCGCACCGAGGTCTCCAGCCTCCGGCCTCGCCAGCTCCCTCTCCAGAGGGGCTGCCAGGGCAGAGGCAGGCAGGCCGGCTGGCTGGGGCCAGTGCCCCAGCAACCGAGCAGCGCCTGCCATGCCTCAGTGTCCCGCCCTCAGCCACACCCGGCTGGTCGCCTTAACTGGACTGAACAGACGTGATCTTTCTGGGGCCCTGGCCCTGCGATCAGTCTTCTGTTTTCAGGGATGCTCTCCCTCCCATTTTTCATACAACAAACAAAACCAACACCACTGCCACAAATGGCTTTTGTCCCTTAAAGAGTCCCTTAGAATCCTGTCTCTACAGATCAGTGTCACTGCCCGGGAGGAGGCGAGGACCTCAGTGCAGCGTGGGTTTGCCCCGGTGCTCACTTTCCCGGCGGCTCTGCCTCGCGGTGCCCGCCGCCTCGGGTGAGGTGCCCAGGGCCAGCCCTAGTGCTCTGAGCCGACGCCTGGCCTGTGTGCTGAGAGGCTCCCAGATGGTCCCTCGCTCCCAGAGGAAAGCAGGAGGAGGCCGCAGGGTGTCAGCAGACCGCCCTCGGCCACCTCCTCTCCCCAGAATCCGACTCCAGGGTCTGGGCTCCAATCTGCCAGTGGCTCTGCATGGCCTTCCTCACCGGAGCAGCCAGGGCCGTCGCCTAGCCCTGCACAGGGGCCAGCTCTCCCTCTCGCTGTCTCCCAGGCCCCATCCAGCCCAGCCCGTGCTCACTGTGCCCCAAAGTGCAATTACACCCCCCCAGCCTGGGACCAGCAGACCATTCACTCAGGTTGCTGAATCCTGGTCATCCCGGCTGCCTCTTAGGAGTGGCCTCGCCAAGGCCTCCCTGTCCCCTCACAGCGGGTGAGTGTCAGGTGAAGACTGGGATAGGTGTATAAGGGGTCCTGCCCTCTCCCCGTACGGACACTTCCCACCGAGGGGCATGTGTGCTTCAGCCCCAGCAGCTCCCGGACAGCCTCCCACTGAGGCTGGCACCATGTGACAGGGCAGGGAAGAGTGCTGCGCCCCCACTGGGGATGCTCCCCCCCCAACAGTTTTAAGTGAAACCTGCTGCCTTTCAGGTTCCCCAAGCCCTTCTGCCGAGGGTCTGTCCCACGTCCTCCTCTCCTCTCCCCAAGGTGCTCCCTGGTCTGTCTGCCTGCAGGTCTCCTGAGCCTCTGCCTCTCTCAGCCCCGCTGCTCCTCCCGCCGCAGGGAGCACGCCGCCTGGCAGCCGGTGCTGTGCTGCCATCTAGTGGGGACAGCGGAGCTGTCAGGTGTTCCTTCACGTGCCCTCTGCTGGTAAATACTTCGGGTTAATCCCTGGCTTCCCCTCATTGGCACCTGGCTTTGCTGGGAGGGGGCATTTGGCTGAACCGTGTAGAACAGGGTGAGCCTGCAGGCCTCGGAGCCAGAAGGGGATGGAAGGGCCCTCGGAGTCACCAGCCAGCCTTCCCTGATGTGGCCTTTATTCCCCAAAGTCACAGCACAACTCAAGGGGTTCCGACTTCCTCGGCTGCCAGCAGTAATTTGGGTTTTGTGCCCGCGTTTAAGAATTTTCTAAAAACTGTGAAGGTCTCTTCCTATTCCAGGCCTCTAGCATGGCCCTCTCCCGCTTTTTTTTTTTTTTTTTTTTTTTTTTTTTTACAATCCACTTTTTTCAACCGTATGGGTCTAATTCTCAAACCTCAGGTGCACCCTCCTGGCTACGGGTGTGCAGGCGGCAGGCGGTGGGCCCTTCGCGCCTTGGGCAGTCCTGACGGGCTGGAGCTCCCAGGCCTGGTGGGCAGCTGCCGGCGGGAGGCCGGGGCGCCGCGGGCAGACACCCCGCTGGGGAGCTGGCCTGATGCAGACACGTTACCCTTTGGGTCTGACTTGAAATAGGCAGCTTCCATCTCTAGCCCTGGGAAGACCTAAACAGCTCACCGTGACCTATTCAGATGCCTGTTTCTAGATTTGATTGTTAATAAAAACCAAATTTACACTGCCATGTGCGGCTTAGTTTCTAAGAGGCACGCGAGGAGTTTGTATCTGTGTGTGCTCGCTGTTTCTCAGTATTACCACTTGAATAATTCTCTGGGGGCTCGTTTGTGCTGTCCACGGGGGTGACTAAATGCAGCAATAAAACATTTCTTTAAACGTGTGGCCGTGAAAGTGTTTTCCTGCAAGAGGCGGCATCCTCTGGCTTGCACATGGGGCGGAAATCACCCTCCGGAGGATCCTCACCTTCCCAGCGAGGGAGGCCCCTCCCTGTGCTGGTGCTCAGCTGGATGGGCTGGGTTCCGAGGGCGTGGGGGTGCAGACAAGCAGTTCCCACGGGTGCTTGTTCAAACACCCAGGCTGCCCCTGAACTCGCCACCCTGAGAAGCGGACTCAGGCAGCATGTGGCAACATGACCCTTGGGGCAGCCAGTTGCTTAACCAGCATTATTGTTGGAACAGTTACTAAGCCACAGGCCAGCAGAGAGAGACCGGGAGGGGGGGCGGAAACAGGGGGATCACTGGCGGTAGCTTAGCTGGGCTGCATCCCTGGCTGATGGCAGCGCCCCAATCCTCAGTCTGGAGACGCACAGCTTTGCTCTCAGGCTCACCTGATGCCTGAGGTGAAAGGGGGGGTAGGATGGGGGGTGGGGGAGGCTGCCCTGGGCATGCTGTACCCCAGGGAACCGGGAGAATTCGTGGGCACAAGGGCACTCGGCGGGCGTCCAGGAGACGGGGCCGAGGAGGCCGCTCGGCCGTGTCTTCCTTCTGCCGAGAGGAGGTCCCGGACCTGGCTTCCGGAGGAGCAGGGGCCGCAGCAGCGTGAGCTGAGCTGCCAAGCTCGCTCCGTGTGCGCTGGGAGGAGGGAGGGGATGACGTGCCCTGAACTTGTGCCCAGCTGTGGTCAGGAGCAGGGAGAGGAGGTGGCGCTGGGAGGAGTGGCCTCGGGAAGAAGGTGAGGGGCTGCTGGGAGGAGCCTCTGCTGTGGGGGCTGGAGAATTCAGTGAGTTTGGCTGAGGAAGCCCCGCTGGGCTTTACTGCCAGCAGGTGGCAGACCTCCCAGCCGATCGCCCTGACCCAGCGGTGACCCCATGGTGACCCACCGGTGGGGTGTAGGGCTGCCCCTGCCACCTCCAGGCACTTTCAGTTCTCTGTGTCATGGGTGGGGACCAATTGCAGGCCCGCCTTCTGTTTGGTAGACTTAGAGGCTCACAGCCACGTCCATCCAGTCACACATTGTATTCAGCTGCTTTCCTGCTCTAATGGCAAAGGTAAATAGTTGGCCGATCTGCCTGCAAAGCCTACAATGCTCTGTGCATGGCCCTTTACAGAAAACGTGTGACGGTGCACGGTGCCCTGGAGCTGTTGGCCACAGACCCTGCCAGAGGTGCCATGGGCCCTCCAGGGCCTGTCACTTCCCCGCCTCAGAAGCTCCCGGGAAAGAGCTGAGAGGAAGGGGCAGAGGAAGAACATGCCTTCCCGAGCTGGCAGCTCCTCCAGGATGGCAGCCTGCCGCTGGCCTCGGAGAGCCTGCACCCCTGCTGCTCTCTGGAGCTAAAATGCAACGAGAGGCACAGAGTCCTGACTCCACTGGCGTGACCTCTCCCCCTGCACACCAGGTTGGGGTGGGAATCCAGCGGTTCAGGGAGCCGCGTATGGGCTCCGCTCTGGCCCCTAAGCCACCGCCCACCCTCCTGGTCAGGCAGTGTCAGGCCGTCCCATGTCAGGGGCAGACAGAATATTGGGGACCAGCTAGAATTTTAAGAAATAGTAATCATGCTCTGTTACCCGGGATTGTTTTGTTCTGATTGAAGAAGGTACATTTTAACCTGACGGGGAGCTGCATGCAGGAACTGGGAGCTCACCTGGAAATGCACCCCAGCCTCCCCATCCGGGAGCTGCCTAGTATGTGGAGAGATTCACAGCCTTGTTGCAGAAACCACAGCCGCCAGCCCTTTGAAGACCCCAGCCTTTTGCATACCCACAGGCCTTTGCAAATCTCCAGCCTGCAATACCTGTTAACTGCCCATTTGGCATACCTTTTGCCTACTTCCCCATGTGATCGTTGTTCTTCTCCCCAATATAAGCAGATGGCTTATAGTGGAGGGCAGAACTGATTTCTGTGGATCATCTGCTGCTTTCCCATGCCGGCAGGATTGGAATAAATGCTCATATATGACTCAACCCTGCCTCTGCTGAATTGCGAATCCATTGGCTGTCCAGTTACACCTAGAGAAGAGCTGGCCTGGCTGTGGTCCTGGTGCTGATGCAGTGGTCTGCAGGGGTTCAAGGAGTCGGGAAAAGGCGACAAGGTTAGTTGGTAACCGGTAACCACTGGGTCACTGCTGGGTCAGGGCGATCGGCCAGGAGGTCTGCCATCTGCTGGCAGTAACAACTCTGTCATGGGACATTCAGCCCATGAAAGAGTGTCGTAGTCCATACCCTGTCCACCTTTTCCCATGTTAAACTGTCCTGTTCTGAACTGATGATGACAGTAGCCGGAAGCTCTGGTGGGGGTGATGCTTTAATTGATCGGTTGGTTAGTTGCTGGAAGCTAATTCCAGCAGGTCATCAATGCAAGAAGCTCATCAAAAAGTTGGTGACCTTAAGCCTTGAGCAAGGGCTGGAAAATCACATGTTAGTGCCTGTTGGAAATGGCTGAGGGCATCAGCCATGGGAAAGGATGCATCAGTGATTGCTTGCTGCCAGACATCTAAGGGCATTTCAGTCTACATGCTATTGCCTCCTGCTGGCCAAACACCTGAACAGCCGAAGGCAGTTTCTCCCAAACCTGTTAATTTTACGTGTATACCAAACCTTACCCTTTGATATGTATATCTGCTTCAGGGCAATTTGTGGAAATAAAAAGCTCTGGGTCCAGAGAGACAGGAGGACTTGGTTCCTTTAAGTCTCCCCTGGCTCCGCAAAATGCCTTTCAAAATGATGTTTCGTCTCTGGGCTCTTTCTTTATTAATTTACCACAGCCCTTCTCCAGAGTCTGAGCCCTTCTAGATGCTGGACAAGACCCCTGGCAGTTAGTGACTGTTGGTTCAAACTAACAAAGTTAGTCACCCAAATGTCTCTCCAGACTTCCTTTCAAAACTCCCCGATCCATGAAATACAGTCACCTGGCAACGCTGGTCCCCGGAGCGTGGGCCCTGAGGACTGGGAGTGCCCAGCAGGCTCCTCCAGGAGCGCCCATAGCTTTTGTCCGATTTTCAAAGGTCTCTGCTTGCCCCCCACACACCCCTACACTGGCAGCAGCCACTCCAGGCTGACCCTGGGGGACATTCAGCCCAGAGAAGATCTTTGGCCTGGTCTTGCCAAGGGGGTGGGTTAATTACATGTTTAAGCAAATATAGCAGGCTCATTTTTAAGTTGGTAACTCTGTATGGCCTTTGAATGATGTTAGAAATATCCAAATGGCCCTTGGCAAAAAAAAAAAAAAAAAAAAAAAAAAAAGGTTCCCCACCCCAGGCCTACCCCGGGCCTAGATGGAATCACAGTGATTGCAGCTTTTGTGGGGGCTGGAGGGGGAAAGAGGGAGGTGAGGTGTCTGGGTTGGTTGGAATGTAGCACGTGGAAGCAGACCTGTTTTTAATGCATTTTATTTTTATGACAACCAGTTCTTTAGTTGGGCATATATTACATGCCAGAAATGGAACTAAGCATAAACAGAACAGAAAACAGTCACTCCGTGTCTTAACAAGAAGCACCTATCGGTCATCCGATGGGCGGGAGCAGAGTATGAGCGAGGTGCAGGGCAGCGGCCCACCAGCTCACTCCGCGTAGGAGGGCCCTGCAGTGCTGCCGCGTTGATCAGAGTACGGGCTTCACTAAGACGGAATAAAAAGGAGTGAGCACCGAAGCTTAGCGATCCTGTGGCCACC